AAACTCCTTTATGGGGTTTTATATAGAAAATAAAAATCCTTGTAACTGCACCAATAAGCCACCATTTTTAAAAAATAGATTAAGTATCGATGTTATCAAAGATTTAATTTTACTTCAATCCACAGTTAACACCCATGGAAGCAACAGTCTAGAAACCTGCTGTTAAGGATCTCTTTAGAACCCTAAACAGCAGGAGTGTGACTTTAAGGACCAAGGTAAGCACGACCCAAGCTACAATGTTTTTTATAATGTTTTTGATTGTTTTACAAGCATTTGGAAATTGTACAGTAAGAAAAACTAAAGACTTGATGTCTTTTTAATTGTGCTATCATTAAAGAATACTGTTAAAAGAACAAAGCAAACCATCTTGGAGGAGGAACCACCAGGGTTGTTCCTTAGAGGTAAGATTGGTGTGGTTTTGTCTCACACACTTTGGGGATGTTATCAGGAGGGGCTAGTCTCTGGAGAAGAACATAATGCTTGGGGAAAAGGAGGAACAACAAAAGAGAGAAAAATCCCTCAATGAGAATTATCACAATAGCTGCAAGAATGGCCTTAACACAATAGAGAGTGGTTCAGAACCTAGTGGAGTTTCATTGTGTTATACAGGAGCTCACATGAGGAAGAGCCTGCTTTCCAGTACCTTACAGCAACAATCAACACCCTTGGCACCAGCAGTCAGGAGATCAGAAGACGTGCTTTGGGCAAGTCAGCTTTCAGAGACCTCTCCAAATACTGAAAAATAACATTTGAAGAGTAAGGTGCTCTTAATCCGGGCCATGGTCCTTTCCCATTACTTGCTACGCATCTGAGAGCTGGACAATGAATAAGGATGGCAGAAGAATTTGATACCTTTGAGTTGTGGTGCTGGAGTACTGAATGTCCCATGACTACCAAGAGAACAAACAAGAATGTATATCTTGGAAAAAGGTGCAGTTGGAATGTTCCTTGGTGGCAAGGAGGACAAAGCTTCATCTCTCATACTCTGGACAAATTACTAGGAGAGGCTGTGCCTTGGAAAAGGATATCATGCTTGAAAGGGTGGAAGGTTAGCTAAAGAAAGGAAGACCCTTGTCAAGAAGGATTGACATGGTAATTTCACCCTAGGCTCAAGTATATCTGAGATTGTGAGGATGGCACAGGACAGGACAGGATTCAGATCTGTTGTTCATAAGGTCCCTGTGAGTCATACATGACTTGGCTGCATCTAACAACAACAGCAACACTAAGGGAACAGGAGTCCTGGTAGCCACAGCACTTCAGTGCAGGAGAAAGGTGTTGCCAACTCCTCCTGTAAAAATTCACAAATCAAGAAACCAAATCCATTGCACACACACTGCTGTTTAGTTGGAATTGACTCACAACTGTCCTCCCAATTTGGGATTTTTCACTTTGAGGCTGTAAATCTACAGGAAGTAACTGCCCAACTTTCTCTTTTGGAGCCACTGGTAGATTCCAACTGTCAGAGAAGCACAGCCTTTGGATTATAGCACAACTCCCCCAGACTACTCCACCAAAGCTTCTTAAAGAGGTATTGTTGCAGTTGTTAGGTACCATTGAGTCAACTCCCTGTGCCGTCCTCATGATTCCTGATATGCTCAAGCCCATTGTTACAGTCACTGTGTCATCAATTCTCTTGAGGGTCTTTCTCTCCTTTGTTGACCCTCCACCTTTCCCAGCATGATGCTCTTTTCCAAGGACTGGCCCCACCTGACAACAGGCCCAGAGCATGTGAAACAAAGTTTCACCATCCTTGCCAATAAGGAGCATGCTGGTTGTACTTTTTCCAAAACAGACTTGGTTGTTTCTTTGGCAGTCCATGGATTATCCAGTCTCTTCTCTAATACCACAATGCAAAGATTTTGATCCTTCTGCTGTCATTGTCCGACTTTCAGGTGCACAGAAAGTAATTGACACCATGTCTTGGAACAGATGCACTATAGTCATTAAACAGACATCGTTACTCTTTAGCACTCTGGAGCGGTCTTCTAGAGGTTTCCCCAACGCAACCCTCATTTTGATTCAATCACTGATTGTAAAAAATTCTATCATGCTATCTCTGACCTCATGTCTGTCATGGAGCCATATTTTCCAACTACCAATCCCTCTTCTTTTCCAACTTTTGCTACCAATTATTACTAATGCATCTCGATTACATATTTGATCAACTTCAACCTGCAAAAGTTGGCATAAATTCAAAACGGGTGACCCTGGAGGACATTATACTGAGTGAAATAGCTCAGCACAAAAGGACAAATACTGCATAGTGCCACTGTTATAAAACAGGACTGACATTGGGGTTGGGGGAAAACTAAGAAAAGCAGTTAAATAATGTATACTGCTTTGAAACAGATGAGAAAGAACTGCTTAAAAGGAATATATTATTAGATATTATTATTGCATGACAACAGTCCAGAATAAGAGCTGCATAATAAAGTGGACTTGGGGTGGGGGTATGGGAATTGTACAATGAAAGAATTTTTTTTTTTCAAAGAGAAAAGTGAACTGGGGCAAGGGATGGGCAGGGAGGAAAGTGTGCAACAATGAATGAATGGAAATCCAAGTACTCTACAAACTTTCATTAAAATCTCAATTTTAAAAAAGTTGTTGTTGTTGTTGTTATGCGCCATCGAGTCGCTTGCGACTCATAGCGACGCTATGCGCAACAGCCCTAAACTCTGCTCTGTCCTGTGCCAATCGCACTGTCTCCGACACTCCCATCCCAATTATCCCAGTCACTGAATCAATCCACCTCATAGAGGGCCTTCCTCTCCTGCACCGTCCCTCTCCAAGGACCAGTCTCTCCTCACAACATGTCCAAAGTATGTTAGATGGAGCCTCAGAATCCTTGCCTCCAAGGAACCACCTGGTTTAACCCTTTCCAGGACAAATCTGTTTGTTTTCCTAGCAGTCCATGGTATTCTCAATACTCTTCTCCAGCACCACAGCTCAAAGGCATCAATTCTCCTTCTATCCTCCTTGGTCATTGTCCAACTCTCTCATGCATAACAAATGATTGCGAAGACCATGGCCTGTATCAGACGCACCTTAGTCTCCAGAGAGACACCATTGCTCTTCAGTACTTTGGAGAGATCCCTAACAGCAGACTTTCCCATGGCAATGCGCCTTTTAATTTCCTGGCTACTGGTGCCAAGACTGTTGACTACAGAGCCAAGCAAACTAAAGCTGTGTACAATCTCAATCTCTTCACCATCCATCCTGATGTTGCCAATTGGTCCAGTGGTGAGACTCTTTGTCTTCTTGACATTGAGCCTCAATCCATATTATAGGCTGCAGTTAGCGTAAAAAAAAAGTTGATATAAACTCTCAATATTTTCATCTTTGCTTTGGGATGAGGTGGAAATAAAGTAGCCTAGAGACATCTTCCTCTAAGTTTGTTGCTTTGATTAGAGAATGCCCTATGATACCGTAAGAGTACAGTTAAGTATTTACTCTTCTTAACAATTGTTGTTTCTTGTTGTTGTTTACTATCAAGTCAGAACCGACCCACAGCAGGTTTTCAGTGGCAGTTAACCCCACGGAAGGAGACTGTCCATCTATCTCCCGTGAAATAGCTGGTGGATTTGAACCACGTGCCTTTGGGATTATAGTGACCCTGTGAAGGAAAGTCCTCAACACTTGTGTGACTTTCATCCTCTCTCCAGGTTCATAGGGTTTCTGGAGGCAGGCTATTATGGAAGTGGATGCCACTCCTGCTTCCAAGACTGTTTTAATCAGGGAGCTCCACCAAACACTGTCTGCCATGGGTAACCATTAACACATCTGACACATCAATGCCACAGTGTTCGGCTTCCCAGCAACCACAAGTTACAGCTGTACGGCAAGTGGACACACTGGGGCTATACAACCTAGAATTATGTTTGAACAAAAACAATGAAAGACAGGCCTGAGGGCCGCGGATTAAAAGTCACCCACTTTTGGCTTGGTAACATCACTTTCTGTCCACTGGGCCAACTGATCACTCTCTGTGTTGATGTTATTGTTAAGTGTCGCGTGGAGTCTAGGCAACTCATAGTGACCCTATGAGGGAAAGTCTTCAACACTTGTGTGACTTTCATCCTCTCTCCAGGTTCACAGGGTTTCCTGAGGCAAGATATTACGGAAGGATTAAGGATGATAGAAGAAAAAAACTGATGCCTTTGAGTTGTGGTGCTGGAAGAGTATTGAACATCCATTTTATGGACTGCTAAAGAATAAACTTGGGAGCAGGAGTGGCATCCACTTCCTAAACAACATGCATACGGAAACTCAATGAACTTTGTTTGATTTTGCTCATAGGGTCGCAATGAGCCATGTGCGACTCAAAGGAAATCAACAACAACAAGAAACAAATAAAAAGGTCTGTCGTGGGTGGGGTAGGGAAAAAAATGCAACAATGAATGAATGAAAATCCAAAGTCTCTCTAAACGTTCATTAAAATTAAAAATAAAAAAATAAATTTTTAGATTCAGGGAGGAAATTGTGCAACAATGAATGAATGAAAATCCAAAGTCTCTCTAAACGTTCATTAAAATTAAAAATAAAAAAATAATTTTTTAAAAAAAAAGGTCTGCCGTGCAAAGGGTAAAACCAGTTTGCTCTTTAGAGGCAAGGATTTTAAAGCTCCGTCTCACATATTTTGGGCATGTTGCCAGGAGGGACCAGTCCTTGGAGAAAGACATTATGCTTGGAAGAGTGGAGTGTCAGTGCAGGAGAGGAAGACCTTGGATGAGATGGATTGACACTGTGTGGCAATAGGGTCAAGTGGCTGGTTCAGGATAGGACAAAGCTATTGTTGATGGGGTTGCTATGAGTCGTACTCAGTCGACGTCACATTAACAACAAAGAAGTGATTACCTAGGGAAAATCCCTTAAGCGCATTAGAAGACCTCCGAACTATAAATCCCAGAAGGCTTTTCGGCACGCGCGCATACGCGTTGCGCGCTCCTTCCTTTTCCCCAGCTTAGTCTCAGCGAAACATCCACGGGCAGTGCAGTCTGTCGCGCTAGAAGAAGCGGAAGAAGATGGCGCTCACCAGGTTCGTTGTTGATTCGGGTTCTCGATACAGAAGGGTCTGGGAATTACCAATCGTTTTCATATCTCTGCCCACACTCTCTGGGCGGAGGTCCAGCCTTGGGAAGAGAGCGGCGAGGGCCAGGAACGCGGCTTGGTCCTTCCGCTCGTCACCACGGCGACTAGGCCTCGGCGAAGCCGGGGTCTTTCCTGGGCGTCTTTGCCGGGTTGAGAACGTGTCTTCCGGGGCCACGCGGGTGGGTGGCGTATACACTCCAGTGGCCCCACATGCGGAGGCGTCTCCCGCGTGTTGAGTTATACGAACTGCGGGGGGCTGGAGGCGGCGGCTTGGGCGGAGGAGGCGGGGACGTGGCGGCGGCGGGAAGCGAGCGCGCGGGGTTCCGGCGGATCCCTGCCGAGGTCTCTAACTGTCCCCGCCGCGACCCGGAGCCGAGCGACGGAAGTGCAGGGAACTTTCGAAGGAGCGGCCCCTGCGGCCGCTGCACGGTGCGCGGCGCTCGTCTGCGCTCTAACTTTGGACTTCAGAACGTCTTCCCTCCGCAGAACAGCTTGGCTGTTCCCTGTTGTCCTGGTAACCGTATGCGAGGGGTCCTCGCCTTGGAGAACACAAGGCTCTGAGTGGGAGATGCCAAGAACTTAGGGCCCTCCCCCCAGTCGGCGACCTTGCTGCCCCATTTAAGTAGAAAAACTTTCCCCTGCAGACTCCACGGGAAATGGCCAGTGTCAGGTTAAAAACGTTCGAACATCAGCTCCCTTCAGGTCTTGTGGTCGAACCTCTAGTGGGTTTCCGAAGTGTAAATCGTGCAGAAGGCGATTGCCCCATCTTTCTTCCGCGGAGCAGCGGGTGGATTCGAACCGCCAGAGACGCGCCACTTTGGGGTTAGCAGCGCAGCTGTCTACTACGGAGTATGCAACCAGAGCTCCCTTGGGTTCCCTTAGCACACCCTATTCTCTTCCCACCTGTTCTCCCTGACAGATGGCTGAATCCAAACAGTATTTTAATCAGAAAAGTCTTTTGGGAACTGCTTTGCTCCATCCTGGGGGTTCTGGTGTCTACAGAAGACTCCGACTGTTTTGGCTGCAAAGAAAGTTGTGGGAAGCAAGACATGCACATGAGAACAGTTGAAGATGAGCACAAAGGAGAAATGCAAAGTGTTAGAATAAGGTGTAAGGACCAGAGCATTTCTCTCAGTAAGTGTTAAAGGCAGTTTAGTGCTTTCAAGGGGTAAGTCATTGTGACAGAGGCTGGTCGAGTTATGAGAGGAAGTTTTGTGGAAAGGTAGGATTGGAACACAGAAAGAAAAAATAGCAGAAGTGTCATAGATATTAGGTGCTTATGCAGCGACACGGTGTTGTTGTTATGTACCTTCGGGTCAGAAACGACTCATTTCTGACCCTCCAGTTTTTCAGAGACAGTAAGTTGCACAGGAGGAGATGATTGTACATCTTTCTCCAGTGGAGCACCTGGTGAGTTTGAACTTGAGTTCTATGAGTTGACAGCACAACACAACTATTGGGTTTAAATGGCTAATCTTAGAGACTGCATAGCTTTCTGATTTTGTTTGTTGTATTGTGGGTTGCTGTGGAATCAAATAAAACTGACAGTGGCCCCCCATGTAGCAGAGTAGAACTGTCCCATAGCATATTCCAGGCTGTAATATTTACAGAAAGGAAAAAAAAAACCAATCCATGATAAGGTCTTCTCCCTAGGAGACTCCAGTGGGTTTGAACTGCCTGCCTCTTGCTTAGCAGGCACACATATAACTAACCATCGCAGCAGCAGTGCATTTTGGTTGGATAAGTAAATACATTAACTTGTGTTTTCCTTAATAAAGGGGAGAAGGGATAAACTAGGATTTCTTCGTAGTGATACTGTTGACATTTTATTCTGTATAAGTCATTGTTGTGTGGGTCTTCCATGGTGGGATATTGAGCAACATTCTTGGCCTGTATCTGCAAGTTGTCATTGACACATCCCTTCCCACCAAGTCTTAACAAAAATGTCCCTAGAGTTTATTAGGTATCCTATGGGATGTAAAATTGCCACCAGTTGAGACGTGTGGACATAGACTTTGTGCATAAACCAGCAGTCTCTTTTAGTCTGTACTATCTATAAGCCAGTGTTGGTACTCCCCATGGGAGTATTGATCTTTAGGGAAATGACATCTGTCCTACTTACCTAGCGTAGCTATAATAGAGATGCCTCAAGTGGATGGCTTTAACAGATGGAAATTTACTCTCTTCCAGTTTAGGCTAGGAGTCCAAATTCAGGGTGCCAGCCCTCTCTGTCCCTGGAGGAAGGTCCTTGTTTTCTTCAGCATCTGTGAGTCATTCCTTAGAGATCTTCTTGTGGTTAGGAGATCTTCCCAAGTGTGTAGGAGCTCCTTAGTGCAGAGACCTAAGTCTAAAAGACACACTGGACTCCTGGAAGTTATGTCTTGATGGTACTGAGATGCCTTTCTCGGCTAACTGTCCTCTTCTTCTGTGTCTTGTGAGGTAAAGTTACCGGCCACATCTTACAGAACCTCCTTTTAGGCCTAATCATTCCACCCTTAATCAATTGTCTTGCAACTGTTTGGCCTATCAGATTATGGTAGACCATGACATAGTTCCATACTGTATTGTAACATACGTGTATTTTGGAGGACCCAGTAAAATCCATGACACTATTCTTTTCCAAGAACAACAGTGACCCTCAGGAAGACTGTATTCTGGCCATAATCCAGCTGTTAACCTGTGTACTGGATTGTCAATGCCCTTTGCTACTCTGGCACACAGGCTGCCTTTTGATAAAGAAAAGTAAAAAAAGTGAAACAAGTAAATCTTTTTATTTCTTTGTAGCTCTTTATCATTGTATCCTTATATATTAGTTACTTATGATTTACATAAAATGGATTTGGCAAAAGCCAAGACTTTTTATTTCATGCATTCATTTGCTTAACTTAAACATTTAATTATTAAATGTTTTTTAAAGTCTGCCATGTGCCAGGCAGTATCCTAGTGTTGGTTTGTAATGTTGAATCAGGCAAACTCCCTACTTTCATAGAGATCACATTCTAGCAATGAAAACAGACAAAATAAGAGTAAACAAAACATTAATACAAATTCAGATAGTGAGCTTTAAAAGTAAATCAAGAATGGCGGATAGAGAATGAATGGCTCAAGATGAGGAGGCAGGATCATCAGAAGACTTCTCTAAGGAGATATAATTGAGCAGAAATACTAAGATATGTGACTTAAAAATATCTAGGGAAAAGTTTTCTATAAACACATTTCAGGAAAATTGGTTCTTTTTATGTTTTCACTAATAATTCACTAATAATAGAATAATTTCACTACTTGGCTTAGTTCTTAAGGAGTTGTGTTGACAACCCAAAGTTCTGTGGTTCAAATCTACCAGCTGCTTTCCAGAAAAGAAAAGAAGTCTTCTCCAGTGTGACTTATTGCCTCTGAAAACTCACAGAGGGTCAGCAGTAAGTCAATTCCAGCTTCATGGCACACAACAGCGTGCATATATCAAGATCCTGAGGTGACTTGTTAAAGGAAACGCAGTAAAAATGGTGAATTTGAGGGGTAGAGCAAAATATAAGCCAGACATCGCATGGAGACTTAAGGATGAAAAAGGCAGATTCCTGCCACCAAATTGTTCAGAGTCTGGTGAGAGATTGCTAGATAATTGAATGTTATTTGTTATTGTTAGGTGCTGTCCAGGCTCCTCCGACTTAGCAATCCCGTGCTCAGCTCTTCCTAACCCAGTACCATCCGCACAGTCCCTGTGTTCTTAAACCCTTTATTGCAGTTGCCATGTCCATCTCATTGAGGCATTTTCTCTCTTTCACTGACACTCTGATTTTCTTTCCTGGGAATAGACCCCTCCTGATAACATGCCCATAGTATATGAGACAGCATCTTCCCTGCTTCTGAGTGCAATAGAGTTAGTTGTGTGTTCACTGTATTATCGTAGTGATGTGGAGATGGTCTTGTGGGAGCATGCATGGGTGTAGCCATGGAACAGGTCTAAATAAGCAAACATTTATGGAACATGTATTAGAGTACAAATACTGTGCCAACCAGTTAATGCATTTTCTTCTTTAATACTTTTAATAGCCCTGTGAATAGTCTCATGGTCTGTCTTTCCAGGTGAGAAAAAGATTCGGAAGGATAAATATCTATCCAGGGTAATAAGTGGCTAAATAATCTATCCAAGGTAATAAGTGGCATGCAATTCGGATGCCAGGCTCTTAACTAATGCATTGCTAGGTTCTGCCTCCATACTGAACTAGATCCCTCTGATACCTGCTTTCATAGCACTTTGTACTTTTCCCTTATCCTTAATATATGTAATATATTAATTAATAATATAATACATATATTAATATATGTAAATATGCACTTCTGTGATTTGATTTTCTTCCCTGAGAGACTACAAGCTGTCATACTCAGTGTGATAGCTTCATTGCCTACCTAACACAGTGCTTGTACTTAAGTGACTCAGAAATATTTTTAATAGACTAATATTTATTAAACCAGGCTGCTCCTTGGAGGCAAGGATTCTGAAGAGTCATCTGACACACTTTGGACATGTGGCAAAGAGGAACCAGTCCTTGGAGAGGGACACCATGCTTGGGAGGATGGAGGGACAGCGCAGGAGGGGAAGACCCTTGATGAGATTGATTGATTCAGTTACTGGGGTAATGGGGATAGATGTGTCGGAGACAGTAAGATTGACCCAGGGTAGAGCAGGGTTTAGGGCTGTTGTACATAGGATTGCTATGTGTTGTAGGTGACTTGACAGCACATAGCAATAACAAGTGCTTACTAAGATATGCTTACTCTCCAAGAATCACAAGAGAACCTTAATTATTGTTTTATATTAAATAATGCACATCTCCTGAAATCTTTGTCATACTTAAAAGTTGTCAAGAGTAATATAATAAAAAGGCTACTTTGATTAAAGAATAATAGTTTTGCACTGATTGTCTTAAGCCTTAAATTGTATTCTTAAAGTAGACACACTTGGAGAAAGGCACATAAATACGCAAGTTGTGTCCCTTTTGTGCACTTTTTTGTTTTTACATTCACTCTTAACCTTGTGGGGTTTTTGTGTTGACACAAAAGTAATTGAAAGTGAAGAACCTAAGAGTAAAATAGATAAAAAGAAGGAGCATAAAAATAAGTAAGCCTACTGAGAAAACCACATACTCGGCAGTGATTACTGGATAATTGGGAACGTCTACTAACTTGTTAGAAGAGATGAAGTTTAGAAATGTGAAAGCTTAATAGTTTGTCTTTTGTGTGATATATAATTTTTTTACAATTATGGACCTCAAATGTCTGTCCATCCCTATCCTGTGCGTCCATCCACTGGCACCCCCTTCTGAATTAAATGTTTCTACCATATGTACTTCTTTCTTTGCAAATATACTAAAATGGCTGTATTTGACAGTTATACCTTTATAATACACAATAAGCATTTAATTAGACATTCTGATTAAATAACATTGTTCAGTTCTAATTAAAGTGTAAAACATCTGTGAACGATTGAATTAAAACAATAGAGTTTGTAAACTTGTTTGAAAACTGCTGGTATTTGGCAGCTGTGTAATGATGGCATTATCCTTCAGTTTGTGATCTGATAGGATCATCCTGTTTTCCTGTAATGCCAGTTTTCACACTATGACCTGCCTTTGGAACTTGACCGTGCCCATAAAGACACATGGGAAGAAAAATTGTCTCTAATGTCCAAATTGGTGGTGGTGCCTTCAGAATGATTCCTAATCACAGCAATAACCACATGATAGAGTACAATTGCTCTAGACCTAGAGTTAGAAAACAAAAAGCAAAGAACTAGAGTTAGAAAGCAAATTGGGAAGAACTCACTCAGCATTCCTCAAACTGAAAGAACTAAAAAGCAAATTCAAGCCCCAATTTGCAATACTGAAGGTTGCTGTGGGCAAATCCCTGAATGATTGAAAAAGCATCAAAAGAAGATGAATTTATGGCATCACTACCAAAAGAATTGACTGACACAGAACCATTTGGGAAGTAGCATCTGCTCAGGAACCAGTGATGGTGAAGGAAGAAGTTTGAACTGCATTGAAGGCATTTGGCAAAAAAATAAGACCCTGGGAATAAATGGGATACCAAGTGACATGTTTCAGCAGACAGATGCAGCCCTGGATGTGCTCACCAGACTATGCAAATAAATTTGGAAGATTTTTTTGGCCAACAAACGAGAAGATGCGTATTTATTCCCTTTCCCAAATGGCCAACGAATGAGAAGATGCATATTTATTCCCTTTCCCAAAAAAGGGTGACCCAACAGAATGGAATTAGCAAATAGTATTATCTATAACATATGCAGATAAAATCTTGCTGAGGATTATTCATAACCAACTGGAACTGGGAGAGAACTGGGCAGTTGTCAAAGAACTGTCAGAGATTCAAGCTGGATTTGGAATCTTGGCCAAAAGCAAGAGATTTCCAGAAAGACACATTAGACTGTGTAGATCATAACAAATTCTGGGACCATCGAGAAGAATGGAAATTCCAGACAGTTGTGCTCATGCAAAGCCTTAGACCAGGAAGCTGTTGTTTGAATAGGGCAGGGGAACACTGCATGGTTTAATATCAAAAAAAGTACTAGTCATGGCTGAAGCCTCTCTCCATACCTTTTTATATACTGAGCACATCATTGATGAAGAATGAGGTGTTGGGGTCAGAGGAACACTCATGAACAGCCTATATTATACAGACTGCACAACCTTGCTTGCTGAAAGTGAGGACTTGAAGAGTTCATTGCAGAATATCAAGCACTACAGCCTTCAGTATAGATTACATCTCAGCATCAAGAAAACTAAAATCCTCATGACTGGGCCAGTAGACAACATTATGATAGATGGAGAAAAGATAGAAATTGTCAGTGATTTCATCTTACTCGGATCCATAGTTGACAACTTTGGCACCAACAGTTAGGAAATCAAAAGACATGTTGTGTTGGGAAAAGTCTGTAATCAGAAACCTCTCTAGACTGCTGAAGAGCAAGGATGTCAATAAGACTAAGAGTTACATGCTTTGAGTTTGACAGTGAATGAAGATGATAGAAGAATCACTGCCTTTGGGTTGTGGTGCTGTAGAAGAGCAATAAATAACCCAGGGGAAAAGGGTGGAATTCCATTTCACATACTTTTTTTCCATTTCACATATTGCTAGTAGGAGCCAGTCCTTGGAGAAAGACATCATGTTCAAAAAAGTGGGGGCTTAGTGAATGAGGGAAGACCCCCAACAAGATCAATTGACACGGTGACTGTAACAGTGGGCTGTGATGTGGCAGAGATGAAAGACTTGCACAGGATAAGGGCAGGTTTCAGATCTGATGTTCATAGGATCACTGTGAGTTAAACTTGACAGCTCCTAACCCCACCACCACAACAGTCTTAATAGAAGCAAATTATTGTTGGGTGCCATCACATCAACTACAACTCGGAGTCACCCTATGGACCTTGTCTCTTGTCTCTTTCCAAGAACTGATTTCTCCTGAATAAATGCCCAGATTAAGTGAGACAAGCTTCCCAATACTTGCGTTTAAGTTGCTGCAAATAACGGCTATAGCCATCCTGCACATTTTAATTAATAAAAAAAGAACATTCGTATGAAGTGTACTAATGCATTTGTTAATTATTCAGTAATACATCGAAAAAATTTGTTTTTAAGCATGGTCATCAATTTAAAAGTGTGTGGCAACGTGTTAAGGAGCACTCTGGCTGCATATAGCAGAAGCATATAGCAAAGTCTTTCTCCCAAGGAAACTATTGGTTGGGTCAGATTGCCAAGTTCCTTTTGATTAGCAGCCAGCTATATAACCATGTCATGACCAGGATTTCTTTAATGACCAAAATACCAGAACCAAAATAAATGCAGGGTTTGGTTTGGTTTGGTTTTTATAAATGCAGTTTTTGTTTCAGGGGTTTGTTTGGTTTGTTTTTGTAGTTCTAACTTTATCGTTACCTTCCCTTACAGCTTTTTACCTGCGCCAACACAGCTATCTCAGGACCAGCTTGAGGCTGAAGAAAAGGCAAGATCCCAGAGATCACGGCAGACCTCACTGGTCTCCTCAAGAAGAGAACCTCCCCCTTACGGGTACCGAAAAGGCTGGATACCTCGGTTGTTAGAGGTAAATAAGGATATTGAGTTTGACTTTATTAGGTTGTACAGGGACCTTGGAGAAGGACATCATGCTTGCAAGAGTGGAGGGTCAGCACAGGAGAGGAAGACCCTAGATAGGATAGATTGACACAGTGACTGGCAGTGGAGGTAGTCAGAGACAGCGAGATTGGCTCAAGATTGGGCAGGGTTCAGAGCCACTGTTCATAGGGTTGTTAGGAGTTGTAGTTGACTTGTTGACACATAACAAACAAACAAAACTTCCCAAGACCCCTTATAAAATTAGACCCTGAGACGTCTGCTTATCAGTTGTCAGTGTGGTAGAATATTTTGTTTATTTCTTTCTTTCTGTTTCTCTTTTTTTTCTTATTTTTTATTACTTGAGTGAACATTAACAGAGTAAATTGGTTTTCCATTCAGTAGTTTAGGCGTATTATTTTGTCAGATTGGTTACAATTCCTGCACTGTAACAGTACTCCCTGTTTTTTTCTGTATGCTTCCCATTTCTGTTTGTCCTTTTTTCCCTATCTTTTCCTGACTTTGAGCTTTAATCTTGGGCAAATCCTGGGTTTTATATGCTTGTTCAGTTGCTTATTCTAAAGGGTATATTGTGCCTGTATTGATCACCTTATAGGCTTGTCTGTTGTTTGCCAAGAAGTTGAATGTGGGACTGAGGGGATGGGATTTGAGTTCCAGGATTGAAAGGTGGCTAAGAGCCCTAGACTCAGAGCTGTGTCTGTTTACAATCACTGGAAAATTGTGCCGGTCTTTTAACTCCTCCTCTGTCAAACTGTTCAGCCTCTGCAAAAGAAACTAGCAGTGCCCATACATCCAGACATTATAGCATGTGGAGGGGAAGACCAGTAAAGTGGAGGAAAAGAAAGAATGAACAAAGAGGATTTCATGTTTGTCTGTTTGCCCCTCCCCGTGCTGCCAGTGAGCACATCATCCTGATTTGACTGCCTTCCTGCAGAAGGAACTACAGTAGCCATTTCTTTCCTGATTTTTTTCTTCTTTGTTAGTTTTAAAAAATAATTGGTTTTCCATCTTGATTAATGCTTGATGCTTGCTTTCTCTGTGATCTGTTAGCTTGTTTTCTTCAGTTTGCAAATGTTAATAAAATGTACATCATATTTGATATGCAGATTATATAAACTTCTGGAAGATAGAAGAGAGATAGCTGAATGGCTCATTTGGGGGAGTGAGAAAAGATGAAATCTTTAAAAATCTTTATGCTTGGTCTTCTTGGGAGCACTATCTGCCAAACTGCTTGCGATTTTTTTTTAATTTATTAATTTTAATGAACATTTACAGAGATTTTGGATTTCCATTCATTCATTGTTGTACTTTTCTTCCTGCCCACCCCTCCCCCGTAGTTCACTCCTCTCTTTGAAAAGAAAAAATCCTTTATTGGTATAAAATCCTCCTCACCCCCAACACACTCCATTATGCAACCTTAATTCTGGACTCGTGTGATAACCATAATACCCTATCATATATCACTTTTAAACTGTTCTCTCCCTCATCTGTTTCAATGCAGTATACATAATTTATCCAGTTTTTATCAGTCTTACCCCAACCCTGATATCAATCCCATTCTACAACAGTGGTACAATCTTTTTGTGATTGAGACATTTTACTCAGCATAATGTCCTCCAGGGTCACCCCTTTTTGAATAATACTGCATGGCTTCCTTGTTTTTCAATGCAGCATAGTGTTCCATTGTGTGAATATACCACAGCTTCCAGCTTCTCTAGCCATTAGTGTGTTGATGGGCACTTAGGTTGTTTCCAACTCTTTGCTTTTGTGAACAAAGCAGCAATAAACATGGGTGTGCATTTATCTACTTGGGTGGCAGTTTTGGCTTCTTTAGGGTATATTCCCAGTAGTGGAATTGCTCGGTCAAATGCTGTTTCTATTTGCAACTTTTTGAGAAAGCGCCATACAGCATTCCACAGTGGTTGCACCCTTTTACACTCCCACCATCAGTGAATAAGGATTCCAGTTTCTCCGCAAACTCTCCAGTATTTGATGTTTGTTGTTCTGTTAAATTTTGCTATTCTGACTGGGGTGAGATGACATCTCATAGTTGTTTTGATTTGCATCTCTGTTAAAGCTAAGGATTTTGAACATTTCTTCATGTGTTTGTTGGCTATCTCAGTGTTGTCTTTGCTGAAGTGTCTGTTCATATCCTGTCCCCATTTTTCAATTGGGTTGTTTACCTTTATCTTGTGCTCAAGTATTTTATAAATTCTATATATAAGTCCCATGTCTGACATGTCATTATCTAATATTTTTTCCCAGTCTGTGGCTTCCCTTTTTACCCTGTTGGAGAAGTTTTTGGTTATGCATAGGGATTTGATTCTTAGAAGGTTCCATTCATCTGTTTTATCCTCTCCTGGTTGTAGGTTTTTCAGGATGCTGGGAAGACTGTTTATGTTGTGGCTTAGGACTTCTAGAGTTCTTCCAAGGTTTTCCTCTTAACCTGTTTATAGTCCTCTGTTTTAGTCCTAGGTCCTAGGTCCATGAGCCACTTGAGTTGGCTTTTGTGTATGGAGTGAAATGTGGATCTTGCTTGAGTTTTCTGCAGGTAGCTTTTCAGTTTGCCAACACCATTTGTTAAAAAGGCTGTTATTTCCCCGCTTAACTAATTTCATCTCCTTGTCAAAAATCAGTTGACCATAGGTGGTTGTGGTTGTTCTTGTT